CTCAATCCCCCCAATTCCTGAGCTCCTGCCCTGGCTCCAGAAACCCAGACTGAAATGAAGATGCCTGCTGCTCCCGCATCAGATTCCTTCACTGGCCGCTCAGACCCCCGAAGCCCTCTGCCCAGGAGTGTAGGGGTGACCCTGAGCCGACACGGTGGGACCTGGGGGTGACCATTCCCGCCCCCTGCAGGCAGGCACCCACCCAGAGCCCCTCCCTCGGGCACCTCTGTGGCCGGCGCACTCACCTGGCAGTTGGGGCCGGTGTAGCCCTGGGGGCAGGTGCACCTGTAGGAGCCGCAGCCGTCCTGACAGGTGCCGCCATGCAGGCAGGGTTGTGAGTCACACTCGTTGACATCGTGCTGGCAATAGCTGCCCGTGAAGCCAGGTGGACACAGGCAGGTGAACGAGTTGATTCCGTCCACGCAGGTGCCACCATTGAAGCAGGAGCTGCAGGGGGGTGGACAGGCAGGGGCTGAGAGGAGGGCATTGGTGGTCCCCGCTCCAGCAGACACTACCTCGCCAGCACCTCCCCTTCCGCTCAGCCCTAAGGGGCCTGATGGCCAGAACAGGCCCAGGGCAGCCTGGCTGATCCAGGGAAGCCAGTGAGAGCCCGGGGCCCGGCTCTCACGCCATGTCACACCTCCCTTTCCTGCCTTCTTTATAAGTCAGGTCGAGAGTGGCTTTACCAAACGCACGGGCACAGGGTGGTTAAAGTAAGAACGAGGGAGAAACCAGAACCTGTCCCGGTAACATGGGAGGTAATTAACGTCAGAAATCAGGGATGAGACTGACGTTTACCAAATGAGCTTCCTGGCAACCACGGCAAAAAGGAAACAAGAGTGACAGAGTTCTCGTTGTCTAATAGAAGGAGGCGCACCAGTTCTTCAGGACAGACTACTGGTGTTCCTGGTGTGGGACGCAGCAGGAGGTCACAGTGGCCCTCTCAGGAGGGACACGTTGGTACAATGAACAATGTCTGGACTCAATGCAGCCAGCACTAAGTGCCCAGCAGGCCTAGGTGGACGCCTGCATGGTGTGCCCGGCTGCAGCCAGTGCTAAGTGCCCAGCAGGCCTGGGCAGACGCCTGCGTGGTGTGTCAGGCTGCCAGCTACTGCGTGTGGCCCACACTGCCCGTTCCCCCCATGGCCTCACTCGAGCCCCGCGCACCTCTCTGTGCAGTCGGGCGTGTTTTTCTCACAGTGGATCCCGCTGAAGCCCGCGGGACAGGTGCACGTGTAGCTGTCCACGCAGTCCGTGCAGTTGGCCCCGTTGCGGCAGGGGTCACTGGCACACTCATTGATGTCCTCCTCACAGAAAGTGCCCTGGAAGCCGGGCAGGCAGTCGCAGAAGGCCGTGTTGACGCCGTCTGTGCAGGAGCCGCCGTTGTGACACGGGTCTGGGAGGGGACGGAAGGGTGTGTGAGGGGCAGACACAAACCCACACTTGCGGGAGGGGGCTGGGAAGGCTGCGGACAGCCCAGCCTTTCATTGCCAGGGCTGCAGCGAGCCGCCCTGGGACAAAGGTGTCCAGTGGGGAGCCCCAGCACCCACAGGCTGCATCACATCCATCTCCTGTGCTTGGGGTCTCTCTCTCCCCACCTGCTCCTGTCCTCAAGTCCCAGGGCAGGGGACAGCTTTGCAGGTTTCACAGACCAAGCAGGGGAGGAGTGACAGTTCTTGCCTCTGCCTGCCAGGTGATGCCAGCAAGACCCCCGGCTTCTGCCAACCTCAACCTCCGTGAAGCAGGGCCGGGGAGGCCTGAGCACGCTGGCCTGCAGTGGGGCCTGACGAGCCCGGCGGGAGTGCAGGCCGGGCTCAAGCCATCCTCAGCTCAGCAAAGAGCCGCGGGAGGGCCTATCGTGACTCTCCTGCAAAGTGCAGGGAGGGACAAGCCGGCCCTGGGGCCCTCCTGAACCACCCTGGCCATCCCTCAGCACATCCCTCACACCCCACCCAACCCTCCCAGCCACACTCAGGCCTCCCCTGGGCGCTTATGGCCAGCACCATGCGCACCAACCCTGCCCAGGGAAACTGAGGCCTGAGAGCTTCCTGGAGGCGGCCAGAGCCGCGGGGCCACTCACTGGGCCGGCAGTCGTCGATGTCAGTCTCGCAGTTGCGCCCGCTGTAGCCGGCCTGGCAGTGGCAGCGGTAGCCACCGTGGGTGTTTTGGCAGGACGCGCCATGCCGGCACGGGCTCACAACACACTCATTGATGTCGACCTCACAGGTCTGCCCTGCGGGGCAGGAGGAGGCCAGTTGGTCACCAGCAGCCCCTGGCCCTCCAGGCCCTTCCCAGGCTGGCCCACCCACCTATAGTGCCTCTCCCGACCCCCAGGAGTGGGCTTCCGTGGCCCCAGGACCATCCTCTCTCCCCTAATTTTGGCCTAAGAAGGTCACAGGAACTGGAGTTGGGAAGGGTGCTCCCAGGTCAAATCCTGATTCCAGAGCTTCTCTGACCAGGGCCTCCTCAGCACCCACCGGCTCCTCTCCAAAGGCTCATCTAGCCTGCCTGGGAGCTGCCTGTGTCCCGAAGACGTCCTGACCTCCCGTCCCAGCCCCCGCTGGCCCTGGGCCAGCCTCACCTTGCCAGCCCGTGGGGCAGACGCAGGAGAAGCTCTCATAGTCCTCGGATTCCCTGCACTCCCCGCCGTTTCTGCAGGGGCTGGGGGCACACGGGGCCAGCACCACCTCACACGTGGCACCTGCGGGAAGGAGACACACGTGACCCCAGGGGCCTCACCCGGAGGGATCTCCCGAATGAAGGCCGCCCGGCCACCACCTGCTGGTCTTTCTGCCATCAGAGCGCCGTCTGCTGGTCCCGCCGGGAGGCAAATGTGCACGGAGACCCCTGAGTGCTCCTGGCTATGTCAGGACCCTGACCCAGGGGTGGAGTGGAGCACAGATTGGGGGACGCTGAAGACAAGCTGCACAAATGTGCTCAGAAGCCACCCCTCATTCCCGGTTGGCAGCGGGGCACAGCCTAGGCCTCACCCCACCAGGAGTGCCCAGGAACAAGGACTGCACCAGCGGAGGCGGCCTCAGCCGGGTGGGCTCCATGACACTCCAAGCACCTGGGCCCACCCCTGACGCCAGCCCCCTCATCTCCGGGTGATGACGAAAGGCCCTGGCCTGAGACCGAGGCCTGAAACTAACCCTGGGACTTCGTGTCACAAGCAGCAAACGCCCATCACGGGAGGCCAACGAACAAGGGCTGCGACGGAGAGGACAGGCCCAGGCCCTCAGCACATCCTGTGTGTCGGGGGCATCAGGCACAGCCTGGGGACCTCTAGGACCATGCAGGGTGTCTGCCAAAGGCTGTGTGGGAACCACGTGCACAGCCGAGGGCCTTTTCTGCACAACCCCATGGCTGAGCTTCCTGTTTATAACCGTGGGGACTGCGTTATCTTCCCTGTCCCCCATTATCTCCCTGGCCTGCTGGGGCGACTTTCCAGGGCCTCTCTTCCTATTGGTTTCCACGGTGACCTGGGCAGGCAGGAACTGCGCCAGAGTTTCCGACAATTGTGCAAAAGGAAGCAGGAAGCGGGCAGATAGGAAGCGGGTCAGCACCGCCGCTCCTACCACCGGCCCGATCGACGTGTCCAAAAGGGACAGGGGCGCCCGGCGGTGGAGGGAGGGTCCTCACTGACTGACACGGGAGAGAAAACCCAGGTCCTTAACTTTGGTCAAAGAAAACAGCGTTTTGGCCACAGGCTGCTGGATGTCATGGGAACCGCAGGCGTGGAACCTCCAGCCTGACCAGGCCCCGAGGCAGCACCCTCCGCCTGCTCCTGGGGAGCACCAGGACCCCGGTGCTTGTGGACACTTCTTTGTCTTTTCTAGAGGAGATCATTTCCTGCGATCCCCTTGGCTGGGTTCACGGCAGGGGCTGGACAGTTGGGGGAACTTACCCCTCCCTGCTCAGCCGAAACAGAGGGTTCCTTGTTCCCCTCACACAAAGAGGGCCCGCCGTCAAAGGAATCCCTCAGGCCCGGCTGGCGGGGGTGGGGAAGCCCGGCCCCCAGAGGCCCCCAGCAGGGTAGGCGCTGGGAGCACAGAGCCCAAGGGCCCAGGTCCAGCCCCAAGAAAGCCACCACTTTACCCGCCAGTCACGGCTTCCCAGGCCGCCCCTACACCTGGCCCCACCCTCTCCAGCACAGGCCCCGCCCTCTCCAGCATAGGCCCTGCCCCCTTCAGCACAGACCCCGCCCTCTCCAGCACAGGCCCCACCCACCCCTCACCTGTGTAGGGCAGCAGGCAGTTGCACTTGTACCCCGCAACGTCGTCAATACACGTGCCCTGGTTCAGACACGGGTTGGATGCACACTCGTTGATGTTGGTCTGGCAGTTGGGACCTGGTGGGAAGGGGACAGCACTCAGCATGTCCAGCACCCCCAGGCACCTTGGGAGGGCCCCACAACAGCAGCCCTGGGCCTGCTCCCCACCCCAGGCCCCTCCTCATCTCCGAGAGCCAGAGGCCTGGAGCTAAGGCTTTGCCACGGGAGGGAGACACCATGCACGGTGCTGGCTGGACCTGGGTCCCATCCTGTGTCTCCAGCTCCCCAGACTCGAGGGCAGCCCTCTGCACTGAGAAATGCACAGCCCACTCACCGCTGAAGCCCTCCCGGCAGGTGCACACGTAGCCACTGGTCATGTCTTTGCAGGTGCCACCGTTGACACAAGGGTTGGATTCACACTCATTATTGTTGATGTCACAGTTGGTCCCGCTCCACCCAGGGTCACAGTCGCACTTGTACCTGCAAGGGGGACCACACTGCAGTCAAGGGAGGCCCAAGCAGCACGGCCAGGGCCTGGACACTCCTGGGTCTGCAGTGCCCCATGGGCTGGCCGAGGTGCCCATCTACTCAGACTCGCAGAGTCCTTTAGTGGGGGCAGGTTAGGCACAGTGGCTCACACCTGTAATCCCAGCACTTTGGGAGGCAGGGGTGGGTGAGTCACTTGAGGCCAGGAGTTCGAGACCAGCCTGGCCAACGTGGCGAAACTCCCCCACCCTGTCTATACTAAGAATATAAAAATTAACCAGGTGTGGTGGCGCACGCCCATAATCTCAGCTACTCAGGAGGCTGAGGCAGGGGAATCACTTGAACCTGGAGGGTGGAGGCTGCAGTGAGCTGAGATCATGCCACTGGACTCCAGCCTGGACAACAGAGTGAGGCTCTGTCTCAAAATAAAGAAAGAATGTGGGGGCTACAGTGCTTCCCATAACCAAGACTGCGACAGGGTTTGGTTCGTTAGCAAGGGGACCATGCCAAGCGTAGGGCAGTGGGGTGCTGTGAAAAGACCCCCACCACTTGCCCGCTGTGTGGCCCTGAACAAAGCAAGTGCCTCCTCTGTGCCAAATGAGGGTAATGAGGTCCCTGCTGATTTAAATGGTCCCATCCAGGCAGAGTGCTGCCAGGCCCATCATGGACATCAGAAACACTCGCTGCTGCGACCATGCAAACGTGTTTCAGGGGTCACTGTGGACCCGTGTCCGGAGCCCACCATGCAGCACACAAGGACGCGTGGCACAGAGCTGCTGGGTGCAGGGCTGCCGGGTGTGGACTGCAGACCGACTGAGGACCCAGAGGCACATGCGACCCCGAGGGGAGCTCCCTGCCACCCAGCCCCGTCCGAGGTCCCTTTCTGGCCCATCTCAAGCTCTGTGCAGGTGCCACCCTCCTGGCAGCAGAGCTCCCAGGGTTTAGGACTGATGTGTCCCCACGATCGGCCCCGCCGCATACCCGTTGAGGCTGTCCCGGCAGGCCCCGTGAACACAGGGGTTGCTGTTGCACTCATTGACCTCAGACAGGCAGGTGGGGTCGTGGTAGCCCTCGGGGCAGCGGCAGGTGAAGCCATTGATGCCGTCCTGGCAGGTGCCCCCGTTGTGGCAGGGGTTGCCCGCACACTCATCGATGTTGATGTTGCACATGCTCCCTGCGGGCAGGGGTGGGTCAGACTCCAAGGCCCAGAGCCCGGGGGTCCCACCCACATCAACCTCGGTTTCCCTGTCTGTTGAGCCAGGGCGATCACCCTTCTGGACGCATCCTTCCAGATGTCAGAAACTGTCTTAGGTCACAGTGTGCCACGTGCCAGCCTCCCCGGGCACCAGTGCCCACTCAAGTCATCCTCCCAGGGGGCCCAGCGGCAGGGGCTGCTATGGCCCTGACTGATGGGAATCTGAGGCCCAGAGAGGCAGAGGGACCTGCTCAAAGGTGCTGGTGAGTCACAGAGGAAGAAGGAACTCAAGCCTGGCCTCAGGGCTGGCCGCTCCCTCTTGGCCTGCTGGGCCACCGTGCCAACACGGCCTGGGACAGCTCTGACCAGAGACAAGGGGTAGGGGGTGGAGGGCACCCACCATGCTGGTGGCTGTAGCCCTGGCCCTGCTGCAGTCTCTGCTGCAGACTAGTCTGCCCAGGTGGGCAGCCTCAAAGCCCCCACCCAACCCCTCAGCAGCCCCGGGGCAGTGGCTGACCTTGATCTGTGAGCGCAGTCCAGTCAGCCCCCATGTGCAGGGCCACTCACCTGTGTAGCCCGGCTCACAGGCACACTCGTAGCCGTCGATCTTGTCCAGACAGGTGCCCGAGTCGCAGGGGCTGCTGGCACAGTCGTCCAGGTTGATCTCGCAGTTGGGTCCTGAAGGGGTAGCACGTGGCGGTCAGTTCCCGGACCCACCCTACCCACTGGCCACCCACCTGCCACACGCCTGGCCGGCCACCTGTGGTCCCCTTCAGACAGAAGCAGAGGTAGGCGTTGTCGCGGTCCTGGCAGGTGCCCCCGTGGCGGCAGGGCTGGCTGGAGCACTCGTTGATGTTGGTCTCGCAGTGGTGGCCCGTGTAACCCGGGCGGCAGAGGCAGGTGAAGGTGGCGACGCCGTCCTTGCAGGAGCCGTAGTGGCAGGGGTCGGGGTCGCACTCATCAATGTCCACCTCGCAGTGCATCCCCGTGTACCCTGGACCGCAGGAGGGGCGGGCACGGGAAGAATCAGGACTGGCTGCTCCCAGGACACCCATGACCAGACCTGGGGTCACCCATGCCCACCTGAGGAGGGCTCCGGGCGTGTCTTTTGTCGAGGGGCGTTCCCACCCACCCAGGACTGGGGCTGAGCTGTGCTCTTGGTCTCTGGACCAGGTGGCCCAGACCAAGATGTCTAAGACCTTGTCACCTTCACTGCCCTGAGCGCCTTCTCCCCTGTACCCTGTCCCTTCCCGCTGGTGGGCGCCGGCCCGCACCTTCTGTGCACACGCAGGTGTAAGTGTTGGGTCCATCCAGGCACTTGGCACCATTCTTGCAGGGGGTGCTGGCACACTCATCCACGTCATACTGGCAGAGGTGCCCGGTGAAGCCTGGGGCCGGGGAGGGGAGGGAGTCACGTGCAACGGCATTATGGGCCTTCAGGGACCCCCGGCCAGACCCCAGCAGTGAGCTCCCAGCTGGGTTCCCCGGGGCACACTCAGCCTGGGCTCAGCCAACCCCAGGCTCTCCCTGCCCTCCCGCCGCCCACCCCCAGATCAAAGCCCTCCGCCGGCACCGCACGCCCTCGCTCCCACAGAACGGGCCTTTTTCCCAAACCGACTGGGTTGCTATGGCTACAGTGGAGCCGGGAGGAGAATGGGGCTCCCCTCGCTCTGGTGTCTGGGACGGCTAATCTGTCTCGGGAGCCTGGGCTTGGGCCGGCAACACCCCCCGGGGTTCTGCGCCCCGGCCCCCGGCTCTGGGACAGATGGAAACACCTTTCACCCAGGCCCCTACGAGTTCCTCCAAGTCCGCCCTGGGCGGCCATCATCTCCACTGCAAGCCAACCTGCCCCACGGGGTTCTCTGCGCACCCTGGCCTTGCAGCTGGCGTGCCGCTGGGCAGGGGACGTGGCAAGACGGGGCAGGCTGGCCTCCCTCCCAGCCTCGAGCCCTCAAAAAGCCAGGATGGAGCCTCCTCCCTGTCTGGGCACCACGGCTCCTGGTACACCCTTTTCTCCAGGCAGGAGCGGCTGCACCCAGATCAAGGAGGATCTCCTGGCCCTGGGCTCCACCATGACCCCTGGGCAAGCTCCCACTCCCCACTGGGCCCTGCCCTTCAGGGAAGTCTGAAAACACCCCCATCCACTCATGAGGCAAAACACTCTGTCCCGGGAACCTGAACACAACCCACAGCCAGGTACCCCTCAGGAGGCCGGGGTGCAGACGACCCCTCAGGAGGCCGGGGTGCAGACAGCCCAGGGGCAGGGGACACAACCCTCGGCCAGGCACCCCTCAGGAGGCTGGGGTGCAGACGACCCCTCAGGAGGCCGGGGTGCAGACAACCCCTCAGGAGGCCGGGGTGCAGACGGCCCAGGGACAGGGGACACAACCCTTGGCCAGGCACCCCTCAGGAGGCCGGCGTGCAGACGGCCCAGGGACAGGGGACACAACCCTCGGCCAGGCACCCCTCAGGAGGCCGGGGTGCAGACGGCCCAGGGGCAGGGGGCGGGGGCGGCCCTCACCCGTGGGGCACTCGCACTGGAACTCATTGATCTTGTCCAGGCAGCGGCCATTGTGCAGGCAGGGGCTGCTGGCGCACTCATCCGTGTTGACCTCGCAGTGCACACCCTCGTAGCCTGTGGGGTGGGGGAACAGTGAGGGGGGCACGCGCAGCCCCAGTGCCCCACTGGGCACAGCTGGGGACTCGGGATGGACACAACCCCTGCCTTGAGCCCAGTATCCCAGCCACCAAGGACCTTCTGCGCACCTGTCCCCCTGTAGCCCCCAGCCCGGCACCCTCATCTACCTAGCACTGCCCCATGCTCTGCTGGCCTTGTGGCCTGGCCTCAGTTTCCCCATGCCCTGTGCAGGCTGTGGGCCCAGAAGGCACAGAGGCTGGGGAAGGGGAAGCGGCCCACAGATGCTCCCAGGGCTGCCCCTCCAAGGCTGCCCAGCCTCGACTCAGTTTCCCGCCCTGGCCCCGGCGGGCGCACCGGGCATGCAGATGCACTGGAACTCCCCAATCTGGTCCAGGCAGGTGGCGTCGTTCTGGCACGGGTTCGAGACACACTCGTTGACGTCGATCTCGCAGCGGGGGCCCGTGTAGCCCTGCAGGCACTGGCACTCGAAGGAGCCCAGCGTGTTGATGCACTTGCCCGCGTGCTCGCAGGGGTTGGCACCTGGCAAGGGCACACGGGTGAGAGGCTTCTCCAGGCACTCTGGCCCCTGCAACACCTCGCCGCACACCCCCCACGTCGGACTGGCAGGGTCCCATCCCCCATCCAACCGAGCACCCCCTGAAGCCAGAAACGACTTCCCACCGGCTCTGGGGCCAGGCTGCTACCCCCACCCGGACGCACCCCCTGTGCCAGCACCTACCCAGCGAGCACTCGTCCACGTCCTGGCTGCAGGCCGGGCCCGTGTACCCCGAGGGGCAGGTGCAGATGGCCTTGCCGTTGACAGGGTTGGTGTCGCAGTTGGAGCCCTCGTTGCAGGGGTTACTGATACACGCATCGTTGAGGTGACACAGCAGACCTGCACAGGCAGCGGTGGTCAGCAGGCACGGCCCCTGGGCCAGCCATGGCGCACCACCCACGACTGGGGTCCATCCCCACTGGCGCCCCAGGAGGAGCTGCCCGCCATGACCCCATCGAGGGTCCCGTGACACTCAGGGAGACTCACGGCCACCACCGGCCTCCCTGACCAGAAAGGCCCTTTCAGATTATCCTGGGCACAGGAGGGCCATAGTCCCTGGGTGAGGTCACACAGGTCAGGCCTGGCCCATGTGAGCCCCCACCGCGCCCACCTGGACCTCAGGGCACTCACCTGTGCGGCCGTGGGGACACTCGCAGTAGAAGGAGGCCACGCGGTCATGGCAGGTGGCGCCGTGGAAGCAGGCGGCGCTGGCGCAGTCATCGATGTTCTCGCTGCAGTCCTCACCGGTCCAGCCGTTGACACACACGCAGTTGTAGCCACCGTGGGTGTTGTGGCAGGTTCCACCGTTCTGGCAGGCATTTGGCATCAGCTGGCACTCGTCCACGTCCTCGGTACAGTACTGACCTGCAGGGAACATGAGCTGTCAGCCCCGGGCAGCTGCCACTCCCTGAGTTCCTTGTCCCTTAAGATGCAGTGCTGCAATGCCACCCCCTCCAGGAAGCCTTCCTGGGCTGACTCCTCCACCCACCGCCAGCCTCAATCACTCCTTCCTCTGCACGCCCAGCACCATGGGGGAGTCTTGCCACCTCTTTGTGCTCTGTGGACATGGCTGCGTCGGGGTGGACATGGCTGCATCAGAGTGCCCCTGCGCCTATCACCCCACCAGAGGGTAATTCCCGAGCGCAGAGCCTGTCTGTTCTTCTGGGCATCACTGTGACTGGCCCAGGAAGCGTGGCCTGAGTGGGGTGCTGACGGCCCTCAATGCCAGGACACCCCACTGGGCACAGGGGCTGCCTGGGGCCAGGTTGCAAACGGCCCACACAGACCAACCAGGGCCCTGTCTGTGCTGACCCCCGAGGTGAGGGGTGTCAGACCCTGGCCACAGGGAGTGGGGCCCCGCATCATGTTGTCCTTCTCGGCCAACCCCAGCCTGCCTGGCCTGGGACAGGTCTTGGCTGCTCCGCACTCTGCCCGTGAGTGCAGTTCAGTAAGTGGGTAGTAGCCCCGCCCCAGCTGCCCCGCCCTGCGGCTGCCCGTGTACGCGCCTGTCCACTCTGGCGGGCAGCGGCAGTTGTAGGTATTCACGCCGTCCACACAGGCGCCCCCATTCTTGCAGTTGTTTCCTGGACAATCGTCGATATTTTCCTCGCAGTTCTGGCCGGTGAAGCCTGCCACAAGAGGTGCTGGGTCAGCCTCTTCCCTGAGGTCCAAGCCGGCTCCTGCCTGGACCCCCAACACGCTGCTCTGGACACAATTGCCTGGCCTCCACAGCCCTGCCCTGGGGCCCCTGGGATCTGTGCCTGTCCCCTGCCTCACTCCAGTACCCAGAGGGACATGCCCTGCTCTAAAGAATCATTTTGGACAGGGCTGGCTAAACAGGGCCTCAGGAACACAGGGTTCCAGATTCTGTCACAAAAACCCTTGTGTCTCTTGGAGTTTCCGGCAGCTCCCGCACCTGGGTGCCGCCTGCATGCTCAGAGCTCCCTACAATGTCTCAGTAGGGGGGCCATGTACCCCATCTTTGGGGGCTGACACTGGGGCCTGGGCTCTGAGCAGCAGGGGACATGGGGCCGGGAGGCTGCTGGTTGGGGCAGGCTGGGCCCCGGCAGCCCTGGGGACGCTGCAGAGACTCAGATGGCCCATCCTTCCTGGGCAGAGCTCTGGCGCCCACCTCCTCCTCCACCTTCTCCACAAGCTGCCGGGGCCCCCTCCCCCGAGGCGTGGCCCCACCCAGGCCTCCAGGGCAGCCAGTTAGCTATTAATCCACTCAACTCCCGCTGGTTCAATCATCAACCCAGAAAGGCGCGTTCGGCAACAGCCAAACCTGCAGCCGGTTACTAATTGCTGCCCTCCCGAGATGCCTTTGAACCCCCCTTGCCCTTGGAGCTCCCACCTGCTCGGCCCCTCCCTCTGAGACATTGCGCCACCGCCACCACCCTGCCCGTCCCCGTCCGTCCACTGGACCGGAGCAAAGGAAGGCGGCCAGAGACAACCAAAATCCAAAATGCAAAACGGCTTGGGGAGCACCCGAAATCAGAGCCCAGCCCCGGCGCGGTGGCTCCCGCCTGGAATCCCAGCACTTTGGGAGGCTGAAGTGGCCCGACCGCTTGCGCCCAGGCGTTCAAGACCAGCCGGGACAACATGGCGAAACCCTGTCTCTACAAAAAAAGTACAAAAAGCAGCAAAGCATGGTGGCGCGCGCCTGTGGTCCCAGCTACTTGAGGGACTGAGGCAGGAGGATCGTTTTAGCCTGGGAGGTCAAGGCTGCAGTGAGCTGAGGGCGCGTCACTATACTCCAGCCTGAGTGGCACAAACCCTGTCTCAAAAAAAAAAAAAAAAAAAATCAGAGCCTGGAGCCTGAGTCCCAGTCCCCATTCATGTGTGGGACCCTGCAGCCCGGCTCTTAGGTAGGTGGGGCCCCTGGTTGGCCCTGCGACCCCGGGCCTGCCCTGCACAGTGCTGGCTGAGGAACACAGGTGGGAAAGAGGACGGGGAAGCCAGTGAGAGCCCCGTGGACCCCAGCTGGCCCCTCTGCAACGCAGCCTCAGCCAGTGACCCTAAGAGGAGACAGTGCTGACATGCCAGGCAGGCTGTGCGACTCCAAATCCCAGCCAGCTCCCCGGCCTGCAGAGCTCAGGGCTGCCCGCGTCTCTGTTCCCCGTGACTCCACACACAGCTGTCTCCTGGGCTCCCTGACCACCAGAGGCGGCTGAGGGCCCCTCAGGGGGCCTGGGTGCAGGGGCCACCTGGGAGAGCGTGAAGCTGGGGTCTGGCAGGCCTGAGTCATTTGCGGAGGCCCCCTGGATGGTTATCTCATCCTGAAACGGCCAGACCCCACAGCAGGCAGTGAGCACAGCCCTCACCGAAGGGGTGGCCCAGCCCCCAGTCTCTGAGATCTGCCCACTCTCAAGTAAGTAAACCCCGCCAGCCCCTCCCCGTCCCTCCCTGCCCACTCCCCAGGGCCCTGAGCTGCCCCTGCACAGGCAGTGGCTCTGAGCAGGCCCAGCACCCTGCTGCTGGGCCTCACCAGGAGGTTCTCACCCACCCTGCCCAAGGTGGGAGGGAGTCAGCTCTGCACACAGGTGGCCTTGGACAAGGCTGCACACACCCCACCTGCCCTAGCCTGAACCACAGCCCCCCGAGAGCTTGGCCCCTCAACCCATGCGACTGCAGCTAGGGTCCCATGGCTGCTAGGAAGGCATCTGAGCCCCCATCAGCAGAAGGACTCTGCGCCCCACCCTGCAGAGATCCAAGCCGGCCAGGGAGTGCCTGTCCCCACCCCACGCTCGCCCAGTGACTTGCAGGAAACGCACACGTCTGGTGTCTGCACGCAGTTGGCTGGGCTCAGCTGACTGGGCAGCCAGGGAGCTTCCCCTTTGCAGAGGCCAGGCCAGCCTGGGGCTTCCAAGGGGGTGGAGCAGCCCTTGGGTCACCCGTGGGTCAGCCAGGACCCTGTGCACCCCCCGGCCCCACCCCTGCCTGAAGGCCCTCTCCCCATTCCCACCTAACAGCCATTCTGTGCAGCTGAGACTGGAGGTTTCCTTTTTTCTTTTCTTTTTTTTTTTTTTGAGACAAAGTCTTGCTCTGTCGCCCAGACTGGAGTGCATGGAGTGCAGTGGCGCGGTCTCCGCTCACTGCAAGCTCTGCCTCCCGGATTCAAGCGATTCTCCTGCCTCAGCCTCCCGAGTAGCTGGGATTACAGGTACGTGCCAACACACCCGGCTAATTTTTTTTTTCTTTTGTATTTTTAGTAGAGACGGGGTTTCACTGTGTTAGCCAGGATGGTCTGGATCTCCTGACCTCGTGATCCGCCCGCCTCGGCCTCCCAAAGTGCTGGGATTACAGGTGTGAGCCACCGTGCCTGGCCAAGACTGGAGGTTTTCAAACTTTTCAAACTCTTCCTTATTTCTAGAGCTGCTGCAAAATTTACTCAAACAAGAACTACAGCAGAGAGACTCCTACATACAACACAGGGATCGGGGAGCCACTGGAGGCACGGGCAGGGGGTTGTGCCTACCTGTCACCCCCACCCACAGGAGACCAGCAGGACAGCAGGAAGGGCCACGGTTCAGGGAAGTGATAGTGCAACCCGCAGCTCCCACACCCTCTCCAGCCCCAGCCCCACTGCAGGGGAAACCCCAGGGGTTGCGCAAGTCAGGGTGCCTGCACTGGGAGGAGGCAGGGCGTCCTACAGTTCGAATGTGAGCTCCAAGGAACTCAAAAGACACAGGCTGGCACCCAGGCCCTGTGCAAGTCTCTTCCCAGTGCACACCCCGCTCCAGACGCGCCACCCCTGCCACACCACCACTTGCAGTCTGGGGAACTCGCCACCCTGCCTTCCCAACTCCCCGCCATGGGCCCTCCCAGGGCTCCCCCTACACCAGGTGCCCCCGTCCCTGCCCCTCGGGCCTGGCAGCCGGAGAGGGGCTTGTGCACCCCGGCCAGCGGGTAGCACTACCTGGCAGGCAGGCGCACTCGTGGGTGACGTCACCCGTGGGGCGGCAGGTGCCCCCGTTCTGGCAGGGCGAGGGGCTGCAGGGCACGTAGGGCCGCTCGCAGTTGGGCCCGGTGTGGGTGGCGCGGCAGACGCAGCGGTAGGAGCCGACCTCGTTGTGGCAGGTGCCTCCATGGCGGCAGAGCCCCGGGTTCTGGCCACACTCGTTGACATCCTGCCGGCAGGTGGGGCCGTGGAAGCTGGGTGGGCAGTGGCAGATGTAGGAGGCCTCGAAGGGCAGGCACTGGCCACCGTTGGCACAGGGGTTGGAGGCGCAGGGGTCAGCCTGCTGGCATGATTTCCCTGGGGACAAGGGGACAAGAGGGTTGTGCTGGCCTCACTGCTCCCCGAGGCCAGGCCTTCCCTCCCTTCAGGCCCCCTGGAAGTGCCAGCCTAGGTGCTATCACATTTGATCCTCAGGACCTGCTGTGAGACCGGTCACCTTTGGTAGATGAAGGACCACAGGTCCCAAGAGGCCTGAGCCCAGGCCGTCTCCTCCCAGAGCTGACACCTCCAGACACCCTTCACCCTAACAGGTGAGGGTCAGTGCATGGCAGGAGGAAGGGGGCAGGGGCGGCCTGGACACAGAGGCTCCCCTTGTCTCGCAGAAGCAGGGACAGCAAGGGTTGGGCCAGAGCAAGCAGCTGAAAACGAGGTGACTCCGGGGCTAGGAGCGGGGCGGGGACCCTGAGTCAGGGGCTCCCAATTACTTCCGGGTCACAGACCCAGGCCTGGATCCCGCCAAGTACCTCGAGTTGCATGGGCAGCTGGTGGCAGGCCTGGGTCTGCCCACCCCTCGGGCTGTGGGTCCTCCCTCACCTGACCAGCCGGGCGGGCAGCGGCACTTGTACTCCGTGAGTGTGAGCAGGTCGCAGGTGCCCCCATTACGGCAGGGGTTGGTGAGGCAAGCGTTGTCCAGGGGCGTGAGGCAGAGGGGCCCAGAGAAGCCCAGGGGACAGCTGCAGGCGTAGTCTGCCATGCCTCCGCGGTCCACCACGTGGCATGTCCCGGCGTTCTTGCAGGGGGTGCTGAGGCACGGGTTGGGGTCCTGGCATCGCGGGCCCACGAAGGCCCCGCCACAGCTGTTGGCAGATGTGCCAGGGCAGTTAGTTCCCACCTGCTTCCCCAGCGCCCCCACCAGTCAGCACCGGGCACCTGTCATGGGCACAGCTGCCTCCCCCCACACCCCGGGCACGGGCGAGATGGCTGCTTAGCAGGGCTCCCTTAGGGCTGACGAAATGCTCTGGAACTAGACAGATGCCGTGATTGCACAACTTTGGGAATGTACTGAATGTCACTAAATGAGGCTGAGGCAGGAGAATCGCTTGAATCCGGGAGGCAGAAGTTGTAGCCAGCCGAAATCACGCCACTGCACTCCAGCCTGGGCGACAGAGCAAGACTCAAAAAAAAAAAAAAA